TAGTGTAGTGGTGTGGTGAATGCGTGGCAGCCGAGCACGGTGTAGTGGCAATCGGCGACCGCGCCGCTAATCGCTGCGAGTTCACCGAGTTCACCGTCTGCCGCACCAGAAAACCTTAGAATTTATCACGAAAACATGATCGGGTAACTTTGATAGGACGGGTAAGGAAGGAGCTCACTCTCGAGGCACCAACACTCGATGACGTCATTCCACCAGCGGCAACATGGAGCCCGAAACGCGATAGGACGCGGGCTCGAGAGAGACTCCGAGACGAGTCAGGCCTGCCCTCGCCGCGCACAGTTGTCCCCCCCCCTCCCCGAGCTAACCTCAAATCGCTCGCCTTGTATACTCGCGGATTTGTTACACGACAAGCGAACCCTTCGATCACCACCGGCTGACAACGACCGACACTGAGGCAACGAGACACTGAACACCGATGCACTGACACACCAAGCACCCAACACTCAGGCACACCGACACACAGACACACCTCTCCTTTATTCCCTTCTCTTCTCTTCTCTTCTCTTCTCTTCTCTTTTCTTACACGCTTACTGCTACGGTACGCTCCTCTTTTCCTTTCCTTTTCCTCTCTTTCTCGAATTGCGTGTGTCGAGGCTCCGCCGTCCACCACGACTAGAATCCGCTTCGGTCCGCTCCTTTTTCCACGTGATTTCCGAAAGACCGCTAACAGAGGGCAGTCGCGTGCGCGCCTCCCACGACCGCGATTCCTTCACTACGGGAAACCGGAGAGATTCGAAATCGAAGCTGCGCGCGCCGCGCCGCGTCGCGCTGCTTCCGACGCTCTTCCTCCAGAGGACGTCGCTGAACCGACCGAACAGACCCGACGCGTCGAGTCGTGCCGCGTCGCCGCGACTCGTCACCGATCGTGCCGGCTCGTGTCTTTCCGCTTCCCCTCGTGCCGTGTCGCGTTGCTTCGACAACGCCACCGAGTCGTCCTACTTTTCCTAACCTCTATCTTTCTCTCTCTTTCTGCGTGTCGTCGTCGTCGT